AGACCGCCGCGGCCCCGCGCTGGGAGGAAGCCAAGACTTTCTGCGACAACCTCTCGCCCAAGAAGAAACCCAAATCGGTAAACGCGGAGCAGGGGCGTGGAGGGAGGGAAGGGGAAAGGTCACCGGGGCGGGGGTGGGAGGCCCCCTGGAGAGGGACCCGGGGCGCCCCTCCCGGAGGGGACGCAGCTCCTCAGCACCAGCACGCTCCGGGCGGTTGGCTAGGGCTCGGGTTTATTTTGGGAGCTCTGCTGGGTGTTTTTCCCGGGGCTCGGGTTCCGCGCCAGGGTCCCCCTCCCCCATGCCGCCACCGGGCCCTGCTCGGGGCCCCGCCGCTCAGTCCCTGTCGGTCGGGGCCGCCTGCGGAAGCGACCCGGGCCCCAGGAACCCGATCAGGAAACCCGGCTCCTTGCTGTGCGCCCCGGTTTCTGCCATCTGGGTACCGGGCTTCGGACTCGAGCCTAAGCGTTTGGGGTCTGGCTCAGGGCCTTGCACCCTGGGCTGGGGAGCTGTGCTCCCCGCGTCCTCAGGGTGCGCTCAGGGCTCCGCGCCCCAGCTCCCGCTCTGCTCCCCTCGCAGTGGGCATTAGCATCCCCGCTACCTCCTTGGGGGGCTCAGCCCCCCAGGACTCACGCAGAGGAGAGAGGTCCTCTTCCCATCCAACAAGTTCCTGATGGTCTGGTCGGCCCTGGGACTTGCTCACGCCCACTTCCCAGACCTCAGGGCTTGCGGAGGGGACTGAGAATAGAGGTTGGCTCAGAGCATCCTCCAGAGAGCTCCAGCCAGACCTTCAAGCGTCTTGCTGCTTCCCTCCAAAGGCCCTACCCCAGGAGCCCACCCGTCTGCAGGCATCCTGCAGCACCGCCAGGGCCCCTCAGCGACGGGGACTGAGAGGTGGGTTAGGCTGAGTCCCTGCATCAGGAGCTCACACTGTAGGTGGTGAGTGCTCAGGCCAGAGACCCTGCAAGTGCCGTGGGAGCAGAGGGAAGGAGTGACTGCCCACTAAGTTAGGCTTTGTAGAGGTGGCCTTTGAACTGATCTTGAAGCCTGAGTAGGTGTTTTTCCCCGGTGCAGAGAGAAACAGGATGGGCAAAATGCATGGAGATGGCAACTGAGAGGGAGAGTGTAGGATCTTTGGGAGAAGAGTTGGAGGAGTGCAGAGGCCCATGGAGGGCCTTGAGTGCCATGTTAAGGAGCCAGGACCTTATTCAGTGAGGCTAGGGGTTTTAAAACTAGGTTCTGTGGAGCCCCATGCTTCAGGGAGTCTGCACACATGTGAATCCAATTAATTTTATTTCTTCAAAGTATGTTTTGAACAATTAAAAATGTATAATAGCCCTGGCCAATGTGGCTCAGTGGATTCTGAGGGACCAAACGGTCACCAGTTTGTTTCCCAGGTCAAGGGCACATACCTGGGTTGCAGGTTCAACCCCCAGGCACATGCAGGAGGCAACCAATCCATGTGTCTCTCTCACATGGATGTTTGTCTCTCTCTTCCCCATCCCCCCTTCCACTCTCTCTGAAAATCAATGGAAAAAATATCCTTGGGTGATGATTAACAACAACAATAACAAAGTATAATAAAACTCAACTCATTCAAATGTGTTATGTGAATGTTTAGCACCTTGGAGACCATGACATATTAGTTTATGTGGCAGGTTGATTTTTCTTAGCAAACCTCAGAATGAAGCTTTTCTGCGATCTGTTTAATGGAAGAGTATCTTGAAATTGCTGACAATTTATTGCTGAGTCTCTTGAGGCTTGTAGTTTAAAACAAAACAAGACATTTGCAACCACTTATTGGTGCGAATTGGGGTTTTCTCAATACTGTGCAAAAACCAACCACTGCAGAAAAAATTGACTAGATGATGAAGCTTAAGTCTGCCCTGGCATCCTAACTCCCACTTCCAAATTTGTCATCACAACTGTGTTGTTTTCATTGGTACATAAAGTATTATAATAAATACTTTATGTACATGTAATGCATATGAGTTTGTAAAATGAATTTATGCCAATATGATATGATAATATTTGGTTTACATATTGGGGTTTCCCCCAAGAGTTCATTTGAATAAAAGACCAACCTACTTTTTCAAAAAACATGAGAACCATTATGGAGCTATGCAGGGTTTTTCAGCAAGGGATTAACTTGGTTCCAGTTTCATTTTAGAAAGGTTGCCCTGGGCAGTGTGGTGGGTAGATTGGAGAGGGTGCGTCTGGCAGCAGGCAGGCTAGTGAGGAGGCTGGTCCCTGCCTGAGGAGCAAGCTGTCATGGCCTGGAGGTGGAGAGAAGGGGGTGGACGCTGGGAACTAGGGTGGTGAGTGAAGCTCACCAATTCATTTTCTCCCTAGGCACCAAGGAACCGGGGAACTCAGGCCCAGCTGTCAGTCATGACCCCTCTGTCAGCCCCTGACCCTCACAGTTTTCTGAGAGGCAAGGTGCCTGGTGGCTTCCTGGCCCCTACTCCTTCCTGCCACAGCCCCTCCTCCTACAGGCTATTTTGGGGACTGTAGGCCTCATGGGCCCCATTAGGGCCTGGCCTGGGTTTATTCTCAATCCCAGGAGCCTGAGTGAGATATTTAAGCCCTGGGACCCATAGGAGGCCCTCACCTCGTGGGGTCAGAGGACTTCCTCAAGGCAGACCTATGTGCTTCTCTCTCCTCCAGCAGCCCTTCTCCCTCTAAGTCCTACTAGAAATAACAGCTTTTGGCCATGTTCCTCTCTTGGTCCCAACAGGCAGAATCATATCTGCCTAAAATGAGAGCTCCTCAGACAGGCTGGGTGGGGCTGGGCTGCCCTCCATTACCCCTCCACTACGACCCCCCACGCCAGAGGGGGACACCAGCCTGGCCCCAAGCCCAGGTGGAAGGCAGGGAGAGCTGGCAGGAGCCTGGTTCCCTGGAGGCAGTGCTCTCAGGCCAAGTTCCTGGTCTAGGGTAAGGCTCTTTCTGACCTAGTTCCCAGTCTGAAATCTGGACTTCTTTCTGATTTCTGGAGGAACTGTCCCCAGGTTCACCTGACAACACATGACAGGGTGGCCTCCCTCTGCGGCTAGGTCCAGGAGGGTCTCTGGGTGCTTGTTCCTCCCCAGCTCTGGCCGACCTCCTTCACCTGTTTCTTTAGCTCCACCTGGATCCCGGACAGGCCCCGGCTCATCTCTTCCAGCTGGGATCCGTATTTCCCGCAGCAGCTCATGCCCTCCAAGCCCTTAGACTCTACCGCACTGGTACAGTGTCAGCAGGCTGAGCGGGAGGCAGGGTCCTGCCCCTGGGACCTCCATTCTGAGGGTAGAGAGCCCTGCCCTTAGAATCCTCAGTGTGAGCGTGCGGGGAGTGTCCCAGGGAAGTGGCTGAAGAGGAGTTGGGGTCTTCTGGGAGTTACTGAGGAGGGGCATATGAGGAGGTGGGGCTGTTGTATGGACAGAGGCCAAGCTAGAGGCCAGAGACTCAGGATCTTACCCTGGCTCTGCCTTGACTTTGCTGTGTGACCTAGGGTCATTTTCTGTCGCTCTCTGAGCCTATTTCCCCATCTTTAAAAGAAGAAAGTGGAGACTCCTGGAGTCAAGGCAGCTGGGATAGTTTTCTTGCAACGGCCCAAGGTGGGATGGGATAGGGCCTGGGCAGGTCAGCCAGAGGGGACCCACACATGGCAGTCTGGCAGGGACTGTGGGACAGAAGGTAAGGAGTGAGACCTTGGCTGGCTGCCTGGGCTGGAGTGGCCGGCTTGGGAACCAGCCTAAAGGGACTGGAAGGACAGCAGATTCTCTGTCCTTGAAGGGATGGTGAGCTCCGTCCCTAGGGCAGTAAGCCCAGGGGGTGGGACAAACTCAGCCCCTGTCCCGAAGGCCAACAGGCTTCCTGGGTTTGTGAGAGTGCGTCTCCCTACTCCCTTAACACCATCCTTACCATCCCTGGCCATCCCTCCCTCCTTTTTCTCTAGGTCTTTTAACTTTACCTTCTTTCCTTGAAGGCTCACAGCTGCTGAGGGGTTTGGGCAGTAACCAGCCCAAGGACACACAGATACACGGTAGTGGCCACACACTGGGAGAGTGCTTGAGCTGAGCCCCAGTGGAGAGGCACCTGTCCGGCCACTGCCCTGGTCTGGCCCTGCTGGACATGTGCAGCACCTTGGTGGAGTAAAAGTCAAATGCTGAGGTCTACCTCAAGAGCTTGGGGAGCTCTTTGGTCTTCCATTTCTACTCTGAGGTCTTAAAGCCTCACTAGCCACTTGCACCAGTCATAGCTACTTAAATTTAAATTGATTAAAATGAAATATAATTAAAAATTCAGTTTCTCACTCTCACTAAGCACGTTTTAGGTTATTCTGTAGCCACATGTAGCCACACTGACAGCTCCGGTCATTTCTATCATCACAGAATGTTCTATTGGACAGTGCTCTTCTGAAGAATGGCACGAATCTCTGCCTTGGGGACAGGTCATAAGCTCCATGGGGACAGGGATCACACCTGTCTTGTTTCCTGCCATGTCCCCAGCACAGTGCCTGTCACATGGTAATCACTCAATGTTGTCAACTGATTGGAACCCAGGCTTGACTCCAGAGAAGCAGCGGGGCCAGTGAGTGACCTGCGGGGCTAGCAGGAGCAAGCGACCAGAATGCGAGGTCCCTTTATGAGTCTTGTCCCCAACTTGAGCCTCTCATCTCTAAAGTGGGAATCACCCTTAGGTCTCAGAGATGTAGAAAGACTCTGGGTGTCTGCAAGTCCCTCAGGAAGCCACATCCTGACCCTCCCCGGGGATTTAAAGGGCCCAGCTGTTGGGGTGATGGCATGCCCCTGGCTCCAGTCTACTGGAGGCGGTGAAGGAGCTCTGGGGCCCCTCTGGGACCCTGAGAGAAGGCCCTCTGCAATCTAGCAGCTTCCTACTCTTCTCGGCTCACCTGTACTCACCCCCCCAGGCCCTGGGCTCTGCTCACCATGGATGCCCATGGATGTGCACACCTCTTCATGTCTTCCTCCACCCTCCTGCTCCTCTCCCATGACAGTTTCCTCTGAACCAGTCAAGACCTTGCTTTCACCTGCCTTCTGTGCCTCATTTCAGTCCCTTTTGCATCTGTTTACGTGACTTTCTTCCCTACCAGCCTGTGAGCTCTGAGGACAGGAGCCAAGTCTCTACCAAGACCACCCTTAGGCAGAGCTCAGGTGCCTGGCACAAAGAACCAGTAAATGTTTACCAAATTTGCATCAACCAAAAAATATTCTCCAAGCATCTACTGTATCAAGCAATCTGAACAAATTAGGGCATTACACTGAAGTTTCTGGTTCATGTTAAATTTGTCATGGCAAATACTGTTTCTCATTGAAATATATTACTTAAAAGTTCAGAGGCATTAAAAATTTACTGAGCTTTATATGCATATATGCACAACCCAAGGACACGGACAATGGTGGAAAGAGGGACTGGGGAGGGGGATGGGACAGGGTGGAATGGGTTATTGGGGAGAAAAAGGGATATTTGTAATATTTTAAACAAAAATAAAAATTTTTTAAAATCCTTAATCTAAAAAAATAAAATAAAATTTACTGAGCACATACTATGTGCTAGGTACAGTTCTAAGCACTAGAGATACAATAAGTGAACAAGGTAGTCATAGCTCCTCCTCCCTCAGAACTTAGGCATGGTTCCTACTTCCTCTCTAGAACTCTGTATAGAAATAGAAATAATTAAATAAGCAATTATACATTAGTGTTAGATTTTACTAAAAAGGAAATAGGAAAGAAAAAGGAAATAGAAGAGGTAGCAACCCCATGACTAGGAGTGAAGGAAGGCTTCTTAGAGATGGCGTGTAGTTTGAGACCCAAAAGTTGGGTAGCAGTTAGCTGGATAAAGAGTCAGGGAAAGAGCAGATTAGGAAGGGGAACAGCGTGTGCAAAGGCTCAGAGAAAGAATGGAAGGGTCAGCTTGAGCAAAGTAGGGTCACGGGAACGTGAGAGTGGAGACCGAGGTAGGGGTCTGTCATGAAGAGCTTCCTACTCCATACTAAAGGCTACTGACTGGAGTCAGAAGACTGGACACCAGTGAAGGGGAGGGGGCATGTGATCAGATCCAGCTTGAGAAAAATCTCATGACAACAATGTGGATGACAGATTGGAGGAGATGAGAGATGTTGAAGGACTGGACTATGGTGGGGAAGACAGAAGTGGATGGATTCCAGTGGAGCTGACAGGTGCTGGTGACTGATTGGTGGGAAAGGGAGCTGAGGAAGAGGGAAGACGTGCGTTGACTGCCGGGCTTCTGGGTTAGGTGACGAGTGCGTGGTGATGCAGAGCAGTGAGATGACGAAGGAAGGAGGAGTCCAGGTTCAGGGGTGGATTGTGGCAGGAGTTCAGCCTTGGGCATGTTGAGTTTGAGTGTCTATTAGTCAACTGGGACAGTTAGATACACGAGTCTGGAGCTGGAGAAAGATGTGGGCTGGAGATAAATTTTCTTATGTAATTGTCATATTTCAAGGTACCATTTCCTCCTAAGGGTATGCAGCTTTTATTTTCTAATGGAAACCACCCGGAGACCATCTTGAGCATCAGTCATACTCTCGCTCCATTCACTGTATTCATTTTTCTGTTGTGTCCCGATGGCTGGCTAGATTGCAGACTCCCCGAGGGCATGTCCCTGCCATCCCAGAGTGCTTCTTGGTGGGGAGCCATCATCTCCCTCAGTCCCCAGATGGGTCCTTCACAGAGGGGGTCCTGTCCTAGGCCTGTCCCTGCCCAGGACTAAGCCTCCTAGGGCAGAGGCTGGGCCTGGGTCTTCTCTCTGCCCCAGGACCCAGAGGGGCTGGCACATGAGACCCCCCTCAGGGGAGTGTGATGATGGCCCTTCTCCTGCACCCCGGCAGCCCAAGCCTCAGAACGCAGTCACCATCGCTGTGTCCTCCCGAGCCTTGTTCCGCATGGACGAGGAGCAGCGGATCTACATGGAGCAGGGCGTGGAGGAGTATGTGCGCTACCAGCTGGAACACGAGAACGAACCGTTCAGCCCCGGGCCCGCCTTCCCCTTCGTGAAGGTGAGCGGCGGCCCACCGCTAGCCAAACAGTGCCTTGGTTAGAAACGAGCACTTGCACGGGTGTTTGAGTAAGGAGAAAGCGCCCTCTGGGAAGATGCTACACCACAGGAGAGTGGCTGGCTAGGGACAGAGCCACTGTGGGAAGAAGAGGCCCCCCCATACTCTGGACTAATGCAGCCCCACACCAGGAGACCACCCAGCCTGGTGAGTGGAGCCCGGGCTGGATTTCAGCCTTCGCTCACGCTGCCAGTGAGGCAGCCCTGAGCAACAATCGACAAGGGCAGAGATGGGGAGACAGCCCATGTCCACGGACCTCCCCCAGCCCCTGGCCCCTGACCTCCCCCCCATTGGATTCCAGCTCACTGTTTTCCCCAACCCTGGCCACCAACTCCAAATATTAGTCCCTGGTGGTCTGAGCTGGAGGCCCCCCTCTCCCATCCAGGCTCTGGAGGCTGTGAACAGGCGGCTTCGGGAGCTGTACCCAGACAGTGAGGACATCTTTGACATCGTCCTTGTAACCAACAACCACGCCCAAGTGGGTGTCCGTCTCATCAATAGCATCAACCACTATGGTGAGCATGAGGGGTCTGGCCATGGGATACCCCTGCCAGACACCTGGGGATTGGGCCCCACCCCTGCAGGGTAAGGGTATACCAACTAGAACCCCAAAACCAACGGTGTGCTGGTAAACTGACTCTTTAAGAAACAACAACGATAACAACAACAAACAATTGTACATTGCCATTTTTAGGTTGTAAACATTTTCAACTGCTGGTAGCTTGTAACATTTCAAGCTACCAGCAGTTGAAAATCTAACTGGCTCAAAAAATCCCAGGGTGTTTAACATTCGGTTCTTACAAGCCAGTATGAACCAGCTCCAGCACACCACAGCACAGGCCCCACTCCCTATGTGATCAGCAAGGTACTTGCTGCCCCTGTGCCTCAGTTTCTCTAGCTACAATCGGGCTGACAGGCCTCACAAGGCTGCTGGGAGAAACATGCTGTCGTCAGAGTGAATGGGGGTTTGTGGTTTCATTCAAATTCTTAATAGAAAGTAATAGACCCCCCAGAGCTCGTTTATGTTGAAAAGAATCTTTTATTAGGTTACAGGAGTGTCTCTTAGAACCACAGGACAGGAAAATTGGGCCTAAAAGGCCTGCAACCAAGAACTGGAATCTCTCCTGGGCTCTTTCTCTCTCTGCGCCACGTGAGCCCTCATCTGCTTCTCTCAGCAAGTCTGTTTCTTTACTTTGTTCTTTTTTCCCTGGTCTCCTTCCCTCCTCAAACTAGGCTTCTCTGTTTTTCCTGAACATGGCCAAAATTCATACGTTTACGAGTCCTTGTTTTAAGCAACCAAGAGAGTCTAGTTGACAATTTTTTTAATCCTAATTTCAAATTACTGGGAGCAGGAATGATATTCAAAATATTTAACCACCTGTGGTGTAGGCACCGAGTACTGAGGACAGACAGCACCTATAGGATTGGAGCCCGGCCAGAAGGACCCCTGCTGTTCCCGCATAACCCCTTCATTGTGGATTGTCCTGCTTGAGGGTTTCAGTAGTGTTGGGCTAACTCAATGTGCTCAGAGCAGCAGCCATTTACCAACCAGCAAATGTTTTACAACCTGTGCAGGCATGGGTACTAGGTGACTATCAGCCCAGGCTGTCGGAGAATCTGGGTGGCCCAGCTTGGGTCAGCTGTTTGTCCCCTATCCAACCCCCTATGGCCAAAAGGGCCACTCAAGGCTGGGGACCCACCTTGTATAGTACTATGACTCCCTGACAAGAGGATGTTCCTGTGAGCCAGGCAATCACTCCAGAGATGTGATCATCCTCATTTCATGGATGAAGGATGGAAGGGCTTAGAAACGGGGACCACTGGCCTAAAATCACTGAGAATCACTCCACTGCCGCCCCCTCAGAACCAAGAGGGTGTCTATTGGACACAGAAGGACCAGTCTGAGGCTAAGGGTTGGCCCGGGCATCACCTGGGTGTTCTCTATCTCCTCCCCAGACCTGTTCATCGAGAGGTTCTGCATGACAGGTGGGAATAGCCCCATCTGCTACCTCAAGGCCTATCACACCAACCTCTACCTGTCAGCTGACGCAGAAAAGGTTCAAGAAGCCATTGACGAAGGTGAGTCAAACAAGGGAAGAAGACTATGGGGAGTCTGGCAAAGGGGTCCCAGAGGTGGGAGGCCTGGTCCTAAAGCCCTGAGCAGGTGCTAGGGGTTGCCATGGTAGCTGGAAGGGGCGTACCTTTCTTAATTCCTGTGACCTGTCCTATAAACTCTGAGAACAAGGCCCCACCTATTCCACTTATTGCCCATCTATTCCACTCTCCCACCCCCTGCCCTACCATGTTAAGGATGCTTTTACAAATCACCGTCACCCAGGCTTCTGTTTCCATGGAAACCCTCCTTACAGCCCAGAAACTTACTCCCTTCTAGGAATCCTCCAGCTAGGTAGGAGTTCTGATTCCTGTGTGACCATGGGCAGTCTTTACCCCTCTCTGGGTCAATGGGGAGAGTGATAAGTATCTGGTAAGCCTGAGCAGTGAGTATGGCCTGGGAAATGGCCAGCATCCCAGGAGCCGAGGTGAGGTTAGGAGACCCAGCTACAAGCACTGACAAAGAGAATTTCCCCCCATGGGTCTCTTTCAAGGGGCAGTTTTGGGTGGTAAGCATAGCTTTGGCCCTCTGACAGGGTGTGTATTCCTATTGCATATGGAAGAAAACAGGCTGACAGGCTCTTCAGGCTAAGCACTACTGGCAGGTTTATCAACCAACAGTATATTCACTTTTCTCCTTCATGCTCTCTCCTGCCTAGAAGCCTGGCCTCTCTCCCTGATGCCTCACTCTTCTGAGCTCTTGGACCTCTAGAAGGCTATCTTTAACCAGGAGCCAGCAGCTATTTCCCTACACAGATGTCACACCCTCTGGTTGGGGCCTTGGCACTGGCCTGCATGTGTACCTCTATATGTCTGCAATTTGAGCTCAGGCTAGAGAGCAGGGGGCAGTCAGGGGGCAGGCCCTGCCCAAGGTGGGGGTGGTTCTGGTTCATCTTGGCTCCATCATTGGCAGAGCTGAGAGGGTGCCTGGCATGATGCCCAGGGCCTAGTCCTACTTGTAATATCCTCAGGCTAACAGAGTTGCTGTGGGGTTGACGCTGCTCGCCTCTCCCAGAGCCTTGCCTAAGCCCAGCCCCTCTGCTCTCAGGTTCCCAAAGAGCAGGGCTGAAGCGACCTTTGGAGAGATGAAGAATAGGGAATGGCCCCGGCCAGTTTGGCTCAGTGGTTAGCACATCAGCCTGCAGACCAAAGGGTCATGGGTTTGATTTCTGGCACGTGCCTCAGTTGCAGGCTCGATCCTCTGCCCGGGTCGGGGGCGTGTGTGGGAGGCAAACAATCTCTGTGTCTCTCTCACATCGATGTTTCTCTCTCTCTCTACCCCTCCTCCCTCCCTCCCACTCTTTCTATCAATGGAAAAATATTCTCGGGTGAGGATTAAAAAAAAAAAAAAGAGCCCAGCCGGGCATGGCTCAGCGGTTGAGCATCGACCTAGGATCCAGGTGATTGGGGTTCGATTCCCGGTCAGGGCACATGCCCGTGTTGTGGGCTTGATCAATGACTCTCTCATCATTGATGTTTCTATCTCTCCCTCTCCTTTCCTCTCTCTGAAATCAATAAAGATATATTTAAAAAAAAAAAATAGGAAATGGACTGAACTGGCTGACCAGGTCTCCTGCCTCCTAGCCCTAGCTCTCTTGTCCAGTGTAGCTCTAGCCTGGAGCCTGGGTTTCTGACAGGCACCCTTGACCTTCTGGAGAAGCCCGGGGTTGCCGAGAGTCTGTGCCACCTCCCATGTAATTAGTGCTGCCTCTCATGGCCACGCATGTTGCTTCAAGGACCCCTGAATGGCCAGGCTGCCCTGAGTAGAGCATTCCTGGGTGCCCCTGTGGCAGTAGACTAAGGGTGCCCACACTGACTCCATCCCAGACTGCAGCCTGGGACCTCAGCCCCAGACAGAGCTGAAACATCTTCAATTTTACCTTGGCTCAGAGTAGGCGAGAGGCCTGCCGGACTCAACAGCAGGAGAGTAAGGCCCGTCTATGGCCATACCACCCTGAACACGCCTGATCTCGTCTGACCTTGGAAGCTAAGCAGGGTTGGGCCTGGTTAGTACTCGGATGAGAGAGAGAGGCCAAGCCAGGGTCAGGGCTTCTTCCCGCCC